GTTATGGTTCTGACCCAGATACCACTCATCATGGCTCTAGCACCAGCCTTCTTACTGGACTCCCTCCTTGCATTCCTGCCCTCAAATGCTGTTCCATTCTCCACACTGTAGCCAGTGAGTCTTCTAAAGGACACAGCTGACCTATCCATTCCCTCATTTATAAGCTCCCCCAAGTTTTCATTTCCTTTTCCCACAAATAGTTATTTACCAACTACTAGATGCAAGCACTGTTTTGGGAACTGGCAAAACAGCAGAAAGTAAAACAATGTTCTGCCCTCATGAACCTTCCAGTCTGGAATAAGGCCAAATGCCTGAGTGTGGGCAGCGGGCAGCACCCACTGGGAAACTCATGCCTGCCTCCCCAGCCTCATGTCCTAACTCTCCTTATGCCCTACCCTTGAGCCATATCAAATTAATTTCAGTGCCTAAAATGTACAGTTCTGTTCCACACTCACTGCCTTTACCCAAGGCTCTCTTGGGATAAGAGAGCCGTCTTACCCTATTTGCAGACCACCCTCACACACACACACACACACACACACACATACATCACTTTTTCTGAGGTAATCTAGAGGTTCCTATAAGTAGTGCTGATCTCCAGAATGACCTGGGTTCGAATCTCAGCACTACACATGCTGTGTGATCTCGGTCAAGTTATCTGACTACTCTACACTTCAGATCTTCATCTTAAAATGGAAATAATTCTAGTACCTCCATATGGGTTGGTTATGAGGACTAAGTTAGTCAACCCATAAAAAGTGCTGAGATACTTTAGGTGCCTGACACATATAAGCCTTTAATAAATGTTTTTATTACTTTTATCTTTGGTATTATTGTTATACCTGTCATCACACTGTTTTGTAATAATTCTTCCTTCTAAACACATCTTACTGTCTTTGTAACTCATGAACTTACTTTGGCAGGCACATAGTAGGCACTCAATAAACATTGAAGGAAGAAGGATAAAAGGATTGGTAGCTCCAGGTTTGGTCTCCCGTGACCAAATTGGACTATGAAGGACTAAAAGCAAATCTAAGACTTCTTCTGAATATCTTCTTGGCCAAATACCTAAGTGTACACTGTTCGTGTTGTGTGAGCAAGAGCTGGAAAGGAGTGACCAAGAAAAGGGCCTTGAGCTGGGCTGACCTGAATGAGAACTGAGCTATTTCATTTCTTTATTCATTGACTCTTGAGTCAAGAAAGGACCAACTACCCTAAAGTCGCCATTACCTTCAGTTCCCATCCCTCAACCCCACTTCGGACTCTCCATTTGCCTCCTTTCCGCTACTATGTTCCCCTCAAAAATGTATCAACTGAAACTCAGAAAGCAAAAGGAGTGCTGAGGGAAAAGGGGAAGGGGTGGAGAAGGGTTAGCACCTCCCTCCTTCCTTTGCTGAGATCAAAGCCAGCGTTTTGACTAAAAGGCCAGCTGGCCTCTTTCATCCCTGCTCCACCTGTCTGGGAATGGGATTGCTGCTTGCCCATTTCCTTTCCTCTTCAGGGCTGCAAGGCAGTTTCAGGGTGGGGCCTCAAGCTATTTCTAGTGCTGGCCAAATCCCTCCACCCCAATATCTCCTTTGCCTTATGTGATCAGATTTCCTTTCCAACCTCTCCAGTAACAAGTGGCAGGAGCATAGGGCAGGAAACTGTGAGAGAAGTCAGTTTCTCCACAGGCCCGAGGCAGAGCTAATGGTTTAGGCCAGTAAAGAGGACACTGGGGCAGCTGGGCTTTGTCTAGCAGGAGGAACATGTTCTTCTTTCTGCATAGCCACCCCAAGTACTTGGCCCAACATCCCCCTGGGTATGGGTGAGGCACCTCAGTTAGGCAAGGGCCTCTTGCCTCTGGAAGAGGGAGTTCACATTTACTGAAGGCCTACTATGGTCTGGGCCCTGTGCTAGGCCCTTTTGTTCATGTTATCTCTAACAACCCAGCCAGGTCGGCATTTCTGCTCAGCCCTCTGGTAGCAATGACAAAAGAGAGATTAAGCAGCACACCTGAGGCACATGACTAAATCCTGACAGAACATCCAGCTCTGTCTGACTCTAAAGCCAGGGCTCTTTCCACCTCATCATGCTGCCTCAAGAGTCCAGAAAAGCTGTTAATGCTATGAGTTGGCTCTTTGCATTATTCCACAGAATTAACTGAACAGCCAGCTAGATCTTTTGTGAATGAATTTCATTCAACGTAACTTTAAAATAAAGGTTTAAGGAGAACCTTTGATGACTTGACTTCAATTCAACAAAGAATGTGACAGAAGTTTCTGCCTCTGCAGAGTTCATAGTCTAGTAGAAAAGCGCTAACAAGTGCCAAAATAAAAGCATAATATAACACAGAAACAGAGAATTGCCATGAGGGAGACAGAGCGGGGAATAGGGCAACACCTTTGCCTTAGGTGCCTGTCACTTCCCTCAGCCTCAAACAGAGCCTCCCAAGGCTAGGACCAGCCAGCTGCCATGTCGAACTGGATCACAAAACAGGGACCTTCTTGAATCATGAGTGTCCCCTAGCCTAAGAACAGTGCAAATAAGCAGGACCCAGGAATACTCTTTCATTGGCCAAGGTGGAGAGATGTTTAGGAACCCAGACTTGGTTATTAGCAGCAGCCGGCCTGCCTCAGCAAGGAAGGGGTTATTCATAGGTCAGTTAAAGCCAGGTACTAACTAATGCAGCCAGATTGAGAGGCTCAATCCCAGTCAAACTGAGTTCTGTTACATAGGAATCTGTTCTGGCCCCAGCTGTCCATCTTGCAACCTTGCGCGCTCTTGGTCAAAGAAGGAACTAAAGCAGAAGGGTATGGGTAATCACACTGTAGGCATTCACAGTGCAGACGTATTGTTTCAAACGCTCAGCCCTGAATAGACAGCTCACAACCTGTCTTGCTGACAGAGGATCAGCGGTGAGCCTCTGCCTCCATAGATGGAGGCAGAACATTCTCTCTTCCCGTATCTCAGTGAGGCACCCTGCCTCTGATTTTTATAGTGCTTTGATGCTGGGAGTTTGGGTCCCAGCAGTGGTCACTTAAGTGGCCACTCTGGGAGAGGACCCAAACTCCCAGCATCAAAGCACTAAAGGCAATTGCAGCTGCCTTTCTTCTATCGCTCTCTCTAAACCCATCTTTTCATACCTGTGGAATGAGTGTGCTACTTGACACCCTCTGGAGGAAAAGAGGTCGCCTAAGAAGAGAGTGCAACACCTGTTTGAAGCCTTCTCTTCCAGAGCCAAGCCCATGAGATCCTTGAACTTGGACTGAGGGGCCCTCCTTATCTAAAACTTGACAAACCCGTCAAGTTTCTTTGATCATACTGGGGGGTCAGTTTCTGGGTGTATCCCCCCGGGTAACCCCTCTTGTGTCTCTTCCATATATTGGTTTGGTGAAGATGAGCTCCGCTCAAGGCTTCTTCTGTCTCCAGGACTCAGGGCTCCAGGCATCAGAGAGTAAATGATTCCAGCAGGAAGGAACAAGGCCCCCCTTTCCTTTCTATTTCAGTCCATTTTTTTAAAAAAGCAATATAATAAGCACTGGGATAGTCTTGGGCATTTTACTTTTAACTAAATGTGTAGTTTTCCATTGTGGATGTGCAAAAGCCATCTACCCGTCAAATGACTCCCATGGATTCCACAAAGGTGCCATTAGAACCCTTACAGATGCTTCCACAACATCTCCCATGGTGCCAGATATACATCCAGACTCTTAACAAGGATAATTTGGTGGCAGTGGCAATAACCCTGGGCTTCTCTGAATGACATCAAATTCACGACCCATATCCACATCCCTTTTTTCATGTGCTCTCTACCATTTTTTCCCGTGGAATTTGAATCCCCCTGTTATACTTACTGCCTAACAATATCACTATTGAAAGCACGTAATGTTAAGGACCATATGCTCTTTCTCCAGAGAGTATGCACAAATACTATTTCTGTTAAAAACTAAACAGAAATAGTAGTTGTGCATACTTCCCATTCAAGGACTTATCCCAATTGAATGATTCCCTTTGTCGTGGAGTGTTTTTCCCCAAGCGGGCCCTCATAGAGAAGCTGAATCAGATATTGTGACTTACCAGAGGTCACAAGGAATCATCTAGTGAGCTAGAAATAGAATCCAAAAACCTTTATTTTGATTCCCTGAATTTAAAGAACAAATAAACTCTGCTACAAGAAAAGAAAAACTGGAGAAACCAGGCTTGCTTGACATTCCTGGGTCAGGGAATTCAAGGCAGCCGAAACTAGCAGGCAACTGCCATTAGCCTGTGAGGATCAAGGAGGTAGTAAGACATAGGTGCTGCCTGCCCTCCAGAAGCTGACAGTGCAGGGAGCTCAGGTCACTGTTGACCAATCTCTGTCCGGGGCAGAATGCGCCTGTGAGAAGCGAGTGCATCCCAGAGGAGGTCTTGCCCATCTTCATGGTCCTCCCAGCAGCCAGCACAGTGACCCACGTGTGACAGGCGGGCAAGCACTCGTTGTTGAATATGGGCCAAAAAATTAAGGTACCAAAAGAACACTCTGGGGGTTGGTGGAAAATAAGGGACAGCTTTGTGAAGGAGGTGACATTTGAGCTCTGCCTGGAGGATGGGGAAGTTTTTCACAGGCAGCAGAAATTGAGGACAGGGCCTTTGCAACCCGAACAAGGAGCGATGGCAGAGATCCTAAGGAGAGAGCAAAGCATGGTGGGATTTGGGGGAGCCCAGGGCAGGCCAGTGTGGCCAGAGAGGAGGGTGCAGTAAGAACTAAGGCTGGAGAGAAAAGTGGATGCCCGAGCAGAGAGAACCTTGAACAACATGCTAAATAATGTAGCAGTGACCTGTCCCTGGGGCTTTTGAACAAGAGGAGTGGTACCACCAGCACGGGCCTTTCCTGCCAAATCGTCCTGCCCAGCGCCCCTGGGCCTCCCTTTCCTTGTCAGTACTGGTGGTTTTCTTTCGGTTGTTCTGTGTGTATGTGGTTTGCTTTGGAGGTTTTCTGTGGTTTAGTTTGTTTTTTGGCCTTTCCCTTTTCCTTACAGTTTTTCACAGCATATGGTCCTGATTACGTGTTGGAAATCACGCCAAGCTGCCGGCCAGACCGCAATGAGCCCCACCGAGTCCAGCAAATCCTCAACTACATCAAAGGTGAGCACCACCCCTCAAGCTCTGCCCTCCTCATTGCACCCAGCTTGCAGTAGCCTGTCGCTGGGGGCTTCCCCAAATACCATTTGTCTTTAGTGGCTAACCATTTCACTGACTTAGAAGGGAAACATCTTCTTGGCCTGATAGCTTGTCGTTGGAATTCCACACTGGCCACTCTGACTGGAATTGTCATTTGGCCAGCTAATGTCACCTTCAGGGGGACAAAAGGTTTATCTGGAGGCACCTCCAGAGAAAAACCAGTTCTCAAGTGTGCCCTGGAACGCTTTTTCTTTTAAAAGAACAACAGTAAAACCCTCTTGAAGGTGAGGGAAGTTCAAGCCTCTTCAGACTTCAGGGAGGGGAAAGGAGGGTCTCGCAGACATTGTGTTCCTGTATAGTTCCATGGTCCAATCTGGCCTTGAGAGACCATAGGCCTACAATGGATAGTATGGATTCTGGTGCCCTGAGAGTAGGCTCCCCAGTCTTTTCCCAGAGCACTGGAGATGGAGAAGCCTCCCTACCCTGCCCTTTCTTCCGGCTGGCCCACAACTGTTCTGGCTTCTGGCCAGAGGGAAAATGGCAGCTATCGGGTTATTATCATCTTGATCACATTGTCCACTAGCTGTCGGGGGAAGCTGCCCTTAGCTTTCCAGTAGAGCCCCTCCCCAAGCCCCAGCTGCTGCTCCATAACTCAGTTCACTTTCTCTACACTATTATAAAGTCGTTTTGGCACCCATTTTCGTATTTAATTGAATTTGTATGTATGTGTGCATATTTTGGGGGTCCTAATTATTTGTAGAATTAAGAGACTAAGGGTATCATATTGCCCATCTTGGAGAGTGAAATTCCCATGTTTATTCATATAACGACCAAGATAGTAGCAATTCTCCTACCTTTGACTCCCTCGTTGGAATAGAAACCAGCATGAAAGGGAGGCCTATTCTGTACCAGAGTTAGTCTGAGGGAAGGCACTGTGTCCTAGGGGGGCATCTTTGCTGAAGGTTATATTAAGGCCCTAACCTCTAGTAGAGTCCAGCCTGTGAAAACAGCCAAGTCCTTAGGCAGGGACTCCACATCCCAGGCTCCTTTGGGCAGAGAAAATACCCTAAGCTCACAAGTCATAGACCTATAAGGCTATGCTCACAGCAAGGCTTATTGTCTCTGTGAGGTGTCCCATAGCTCTCATCCTTCTCCTGACCCTATAGTTTCAAGCTACCTCCCTCTGGAGTCATGGTGGATACCAACCCCACAAATCCTCACTTTCTAACCAAATCCTCCTCCCTTGTACAGTCTTTAAGGCCTTTCAACTCTTTCTATTCCTCGCCCTTTGCCAGTCCTTCTCACTCTCCTGCAGCCCTGATTAACACTAGTGCTCCCACCCTAATTTCCTCCTGCCCCTCACAGACCCAGGACACCTTCCCTGTTTCCTTTGGGACTGATCCTGAACCAACTTTTCTTACTTACCCCTCTTCCTTCAACCTTACCATCCCCTCCCCCCACCCCCGATCCAGGCTCTAAATCCTGGTAGAGTACAGACAAAGCAATAGAAACAGATAAACTAAACAAGCCTCTGCAGGTTCTTGCTCACACCTCCGTATGTGCAGATATCTGTATGCCCTCATGCTTTCCTGCACACGTACCCAGACACATATCTCCAGAGTGGTGACATCTTGCTATTGAGGAAATGGAAATGACAAGTGAGAGAAGACATAAGGAAGGTAATTCAAAGGGAAGAGAACTAGGAAAGGTAAGAAACCCAAAAGAGGAATACATTTTTAAAAGACCTGAGATAAAAGATTAGTTTGAGGGTTGGTGATGGGGGGGGGGGGGATCATCAAAAATCTTAGAGGATGTGTAAGTTACATGTAAGTCAAGGTTTTTAGAAGGTCCTGACAGGTTAAAACAATATTCTGATAGCAGTACAGAGACGTTAAGCTGAGAGAAAATGTATGGACCAGGAATTGGGTCCTCAGAAGCGACTGGACACACACAAGATGGGAAGTTATGACTCAGCAGCATTTTGTCTGAAAGAGCTAGGGATTTTAGTCAATGGGGACATTGGTGTGAGTCTCCAGGACAAGTTGGCCTCCAGCCATGCTGATGTAGTATCATCCTCACTTTAAAAGGGCTCTAGGCAAACAGGAGCATGGTACTGGTCAGTCAGGAGGGAGAAAAGACTGTAGACCAGGTTCCAAGAGGTCTGGTTGGAGGAGCTGGGGTTTTTGGAGAAAAGAAGACCCAGGGAGATGTGGTCTTTATTTCATATCTCTGAGAGGCTGTCGCAGAGTTTATGTGGTCACAGGGCACAGAACTAGGACTCATGGGTAAATATTATAAAAAAGGCGAATTTATATTCAGTAGGAGGAGGAATTTTCTAACATTTTGAGCTACCCAAACTGGAGCAGGCTGCCCAAAAAGGAATGAGGACTCTGTTCCTGGAGACTTGCAAGTAGAGGCTAGATAGTCACTTGACTGTCATATCATAGACATGTTCCTGCATTGGGGGAGGGCAATTGTACTAGATTATTAAGGTTCCTTCTAATCCTAAGATCCTAGGATGCTGTATGTTAAAAATGAGAAAATAGAAAAACAATAAAAGGAATATGATGAGAGTGCAGGTGTTGGTAGATGAGTCACAGTTGTTGGGGCGGGGGTGGAGGGAGGTAATACTGTGTAGAGGAAAGAACTGATGAGAAGAAAAGAAATTAAATGGCTGAGAGTGGGTGGGGAGGAGCCAGGGAGGGCAGACAGCAAGTAGACTGGCTATAGAATACTAGGAATTATCAGATTTTCCATTTAGCCATCTCCTTCATATTGACAAAGTCTTGTGTTCTAGCCATGCAAATGAGCAGAGCTCACAAGTCCAGAACCAGAAAGAAATTCAGCTAAACCAAGAAGAAATGAGGCTAGAAAGAAGTCCAAATGTTGCTAAAAATGGCCAGGCTAACCTGCTATACTGAGACCGTGCCCCTCCAGCCTGGTGACGCATGCTGCCATCAGATAGTGCGTTGCCATGACAATGGTCAGTGTGGAAAAGCTGCTGAATTTTCTACATTCTGAAAGATTTTCCTGAACCTGCCTACATGACTTGTCATTTGTACTTGCATATTAAAACCTCAGTGAGGCTGGCCATTTCTCACAGTGTCTCTTGGCCTCCTTCCCTCATATTAAAAACAAAGGAGGGGGGAGGCATGGATTGATTTGGGAAGATGGAATGACCATGATAGAGTGGATGGATTAAGCTCCACTCTACGGGAGGGAGTTTAGCCAGTATGTCTCAGTTGAATTTGTTCAGCCTTGAGCTTGGGTTTTTTTCTCTTTCTCATCACATTCCCCTAGAAGCACAAAAGATGGGATTTTTTAACCTACTGAAGATCAAACCTGGGGAGGTTCATCTTATAGAGATACGTTCCACGTGCCACAGGTTGACTGGAGGGAAAGGCAAATTTAGACCTCACCTTATCCCATCTTTACTGCCCATTAGTCTTTCTAAGAGGGAAAAAAAGACAAAAAACCTTGGAGAGTCAATTCAAGCTGTTAGCTTTATACAGGAAAAAGCTATGTATTGCTCTAACAAATTGCTCTTCTAGTGCCAGTGAATCTCGAAGATATGTGTCAGTGCTCACAAGGAAGTGTGGATCGTTCAGCTTAGCTCATGCCCACTACTGTAAAATCATCCTCACACCATCTTCATGTGCTTAGACTTGTTTGCCTTTCCTCTGGTTGATGTACTCCAGAAGAGCTGGCTCACACTGAACTTTCCAGAGTTGGAACAGTGCTGATGTGATCAATCCCCAGGGATGGCTAGCTCCCCAAGCCTGCCTGGCTCTGTGTGAGGAAACAGGGGTAGAGTTTTTCTAGTCCCTAGTACTGATGACATTTGAATTGAGTAAAGGTCCCTAGGGGGACAAAAGCTTCTTGTTGCAACCCAGACGCAACCTTCTGTGGCTGAGTGCAGAGGAAGGGTTGTGCATGCACAAGTATGTGTTGGCATTGTAATTGAAGGTTATAACTCACTTGCTGTGAGTTCCCAGACTGTACCCCAAGTTTGCCTGGAATAGGAAAGGAGACAGATAGGGCCAAGAGGTAAGAAGGAAGAGGAGGGGGAGGACATAAGAGGTAAGAGAAGGCCTTATAAACATCTGCCTTTTCTGACCCTTGATGAAGGAGGCTGAATTGGCATCTCATACAGTGCAGGGTTGGGCAGATGGACTAGCCAACTGATGTGGGTATAGGGAAGAGACAACAGAGGTGAAATAATAAGAACAATAGCTACTATTTATTTTACAGATGAGGAAACTGAGGCTCAGAGAAGATAAGTGACTTGGCCAATGTCACATTTGTTCATTCATTCAGCAAGCAATTACTAAGCACCTACTATGTGCTATACACAGTGCTAATAGGTGGTAGAGCACACACTTGAACCCTAGTCTTTCTGAACTGGGGCTTTGGAGTCAGGCTGTTTGTCCTTTCCAGCCCCCCTCTTCTCTTTGCAGTGTTGCCCTGTCAAGTATATTTGTCATACCTCATTTTTTCAATCCCATTTTTAACCCCCCCCCTTTTCCCAATTGCCCCTGGTAAACTCTTCCCACCCTTCACTGCATATCCAGCTCCTTCCACATGGCTGACCCAAAGCACCTAAAATCAGATGTCTCTTTGGAAATGGGAGGAAGATAGCCATGAGCAACACTTGGCAGTCCTGGCCTCTGACCCAGGCCTTTTAACATTCTCTAACACCTACCCCTGCCATGCTCCCATCACCCAACCATACTATCATTGAACCTTTCTACTCCATTTTGAGCTGAGTAGAGAAGTAAAAGAGGACAAAAGGTGGAAGAAGCTAACCCATCCAGCTCCTGCTACCTGAAGTGTGTGGTGTTTACCAGCCCCACTCTGCTATTTACAGTTCCATGGCCCCAAGATGAGTCCCTTTGCACATCTATTGGTAATATTCTCAGGAACACCATTGTGCTGAGTGTAAGCTGCCCCTCCTTGGGCAATTT